CTTGTTGACAGTCAAAATTGACCAAAGTGCATAATGGACTCCGTCATCATATTACTCGTTGAGACGGCCATAAAACATATTTGAATCATCTCATTTTGAGCATGGACGAAGAAACAACTTTTCGGAGGGGGGGGTGACCCAATTGAAACTGGAGGATTTTCTAACTTCCTCAAATGGAAGAATTGATTGCACCATTACATTCCTCTTGTCGAGATTATCGAAAAAACATACATAGATCATCTCGTTTGGAGTCCGGATGTATTAATTACGATTTTTGGAAGATTTTATGCGCTGGAAACACCGAAAAACCGGCCAAGGTCGGTTTTGAGGGGTCAACTTGGATTTTAATTGCATTTTGACGCGTTCTGAAAGGGGTTCAACTCCTCGAGGGATAAGGTCGCCCCTACCTTATGAATAAAAGGGCCACAACCGATTGAGGTGCCTAACATACATAATCGATACAAAAATCAATCTACTACCTTTCTTTACCCACTTCTCTCATCTACTTCTTCTCATCGTTCTTCGTTGGCGTAACATGGCTAGTGAATCAAGCGAAGCTCTAGAGCGGTCAGGTTGGCTACGGCAGCCCAAGCCGTCGCATGCCCAACGAGGTCCCTCCCGAGCGTGTGAGATTTCGGGTTCCAAGAGACCTTGTCGGCGTGTCCTACGTATCACGCTCATCGTTGGAGGCTATGGTTCAAGTGCAAACAAACTCTTCAGCCTAATAATTCACTAAAAAAACCCGCCTCCGTTCGGTCTAGAGTAGCACAGGTCAGAAACCAGCCAAACTACAGCACTACAGCAGCAGACCGGTCGACGGGGGACCATTTCCTCCGCTGCTGTCTGCTGACATGGCCGTCGGCCGATCAAGGGTTCGAACGCAGTAGCAGCGCATGCCGAATTACGTGCCAGGCCTCTTAATAAAAAATAAACTGTTGAGATAATGAATGCGCGCGGATTACGTTTTGCTCTGCTCCAGCCATGGGCGAGTGTGAGTGTGGCGCACGCGCGCGCAGCGAGAGACGACTTGGTCAAGTAGCCCATCGCGGCCGCTGGATCCGATTGCTCGGACGGTCAGGATGCTCTCACCTCTATATCTTCTAATGCGCGTAGCTTTCGGTGGTCCGGGCCTATAGTAGAGCAGAAAGGATTTATTATATAATAACACAAGTGATTAGAGTAAGAGACGGGCGAGCATCGAGCACGTGGGGCCGGCCAGAGTGGCTGCGCTGCGCACGTCATCTGGTCTTCACGTCGACCCCACCGCAACCCTTTGACGGTTGGAGACCAGTGTTTGACCAGCTGACCCCAGACCTTTGACTGTTTGACCCCGTATCAGCAGCTGGGCCCCGCCATGTCATCCGCCTCGCCGGATCCAGCTTAGAGCTTACCAAAAGCCATCGAGCCGCTTCGCGTAGGTCCAAGTAGCAGAGCTGTAGCAGAAATCACAAACTTGATCACGGGGATGAATCCGCACGCGTTGCACAACAATTAAATTAGCTACCTAGACCTTTGTGCTGAGTAGTAGTCCTACTAGGCCTACTAAGACTCTGGATTTACCAAATTTACCATTTCGTTTATTTAACAGCTAAATTAAGTTTTCATCAAACAAAAAAAGGCTAAGGTCTGGGTTAGATGCTCTGAAATTTTATGCACATGTAAATGCAATTCACCTGTAATTTGTTGAGCACAAGAAAACCCTTGGAATGCAAATGATTTATATACTCGTGGAAAAAGGTTGTTTGAGTATAGACTGAAATGCGTGCAACTATTCTGAATTTGTCACCGCAAACATATAGAGAGAGCGCAAGAAACTTTAGCATCAACTTGGAACTTGAAACCGAAATGGACCTCGAAGAAATTCCAAATCAAAAGGTTAATTTTGGCTAGGACATTTGGAAGTTAAAATTTGAAGAAATCACATCCTGGAGACACAAAGAGGGAAGGAGCACTGGAGCAGGGAAGCCAATCGGAAAACACAGATAGGGTAGGCGTCCGTCCATGACTCGCAAGCCTTGCACAGGCAAGGGTGCTGACATGCATGGCGGCAACAACACCTACTCCTGGTTGTGGTTGGAGTAGCAGAAGCCATCAGCGACAGCGTGGAGGAGGAGCTCGTGAAGCATGGCATGGAGCACAGCGACGATGGCCTCGTTGCCTTGGGCGACATCGCACCACGCCAAGGCCTTCGTGATCGCTTGCTGGACTCGCTCCTTGAGCCCCGATACTGAGTCCCCACGTAGCGGCCTATGGTGTCAATCCCGTTCTCAGTTCAGATCCCCTCCCCAGTCCCAGAGCTTGGCCTCCATATCATTTTAGTGTTGCCCGTCCTAGAATCATGGCTAACTGGGCAACACGGCTTTGGTGGAGAAGAAGTCCTTGCTGCCCCTCTCATTTCCACCGCCGCAAGCTTCTATCGATGATGATGCATTGGCAGTCATGCCCAAGGCATTGGTTGTCCGTAAGCATTGATGTTGAGGAGGGTGTGGGGGAATCATAGGTGGAGGCAAGGTGTGGTGCGGGACGACGCATCTAGGTTTGCGCCTTGATGTGTGTGCATGTGGTGCCACCATGCACCGGGATAGAAAACGGGTTCTTAGAGGTCTCAGATGTTGGTAGAGAGAGGGGGTCGATCTGCTTGCTAGGGCAAATAGTGCAAAGGCAAGGAGTAAGGCTGGATAACGAGCTGGCTCGGCTCGGCTCGGCTCGTCTCGTCTCGTTCTAGCTCGTTAAGATAACGAGCTAGCTCGGCTCGGCTCGTTATCCTAACGAGCCAGAAAGCCACCTCGGCTCGGCTCGGCTTGTTAAAAGCTCGAGCTGGCTCATTAAGCTCACGAGCCAGGTATAAAAAATACACAAAATATAATATTTGTATTTATCTAAAGTTTGAGAATAATAATAATATAAAAGAAATACATTTAGACCAGTTATCAGTCAATTTATAGGGTCTAGATCAGTTACCGGTCAATTGTAAAGTCCAAGACATGAAGTAATACAAAAACTAATATAAGTTTTGATATTTTTTTTTCCTGGAAGCTTGGCTCGTTTAGCTCGCGAGCGGCTCGCGAGCTGGCTCAAGTTGGCTCGTTATAGCTAACAAGCTAAAATCTTGGCTCGGCTCGACTCGTTATCATAACGAGCCGAGCCAAGCCGAGTCGAGTCAGCCACGAGCCAAGCGAGCTAACGAGCTTCGAGTTTTTCGTCCGCCTTAGCAAGGAGAGGAGTGGGTTGGTCATGGGTTTCAACCCGTCGGTTGTTTCTCCTTTTCACTTTCCTTTTCTATTTTACTACATTCCCTAGGATTTAAAAATAGAATTTTAAACTTGATTGAAATTCATTTGAATTTCCACGCAAGCAATTCAAAGAACTTAAGAGCTAGCTCAAACACACATGTGTATGTACAATTGAAACATGGAATGCATCAGTTGAAATATTTAACCTATCCTAAGTGAGAGTTTACTAGGGTTTGATTTCATTGTTACTTACTATTTGAACACATTACCAAGCACTAAAATGCTTTTTTTTTCCTCAAAAAGTCACATTTTTAATCAAGGGTTTACGGTGTATTGGTGTGGAATGTACATAGGTATATGTATGCACCTTATCTTGGCTTCTTAAGTTCTTATACTTATGTCTTCAAAAAAAAAATTCAGGGAAAAACAACATATGTTTCTTTGCTGGTTTTACATTACTGGGCGAGAGAGTGTTGCAAATAGCAGGCTATAACACTGCTATAGCGCCGCTAGCGTTTTTGAACAATTTACTGGTAAGATATTGCATATATTATATAGGCTTATAGCCATTGCCGCTATTTCAAGCATTAGTGGCGCTATACACTATAGCGGTGACATAATTTAGTGACGTTAAATATGCACCCAGCCGACCTACCAAGAAATGAGACCCAACAAAATTTTCATTGGTCCAAACGAACCAAATCTAGTCTATCTATACATAGGGTAAAAGCATGTTCAGAAAACCTAGCATCTCTAGTTCTCCCCTCTGTATTCTCTAAGGCCTCGCTCTAAGTTCTGAACCTTTCGCGGTGACGCGGTGATGGTGCGCGTTGAGGAAATGATGGCCATGAATTTAGAACGACGACTATGAGGTGTCGAAAGTGATTACATGAGCTGGCTACTTGTCAAGGCTATGTGTAGTGAGCGCAGAGGTTGCGGTTGTGGTCATCCCCTTCGCCTATGTACAACAACTATACTAGCAACCATAGTACAAGTAGTCGAGCATTGGCACGAAGAGACAATATAACAGCCGGCAACAGAAATAGATGCAAGTCAGCGAACAACAAACAATTATATGCAGGGTTCAAAATTTCGGTGAAATTTCATCGAATTTTTGCGAATTTCGGTAATTTTGGTGGTGGCTGAAAGAAAAATCTAAAATTTAGTAATATACTAATACATGTGCTATATAACTCTAGACTCATATTTTGTATTGTTTATATTGCATATTCTTCTATTCAATTGATGTCCGGTCATAAATCATGCTAATATTTGTTTAAATCTATTTTTTTTAGAAAAAACATACTTCATGTGCTAATTTCTAAAAAAATTTCGGCCAAATTTCGTGAAATTCGGTAATTTCAGTGGTGGCCGAAATTTTTGTAATACAAGAAATTTTCGTGAAATTCGCATTGGGAAACTCTGTAGCAGGAGGAGCGAGACTCGCCAAGTATTTTCCAAATCCGAATAAGGAAAAAAAGGGTTTAGAGCAAATCATTTAATTAAATCATGTTATTTGTTAGCTTCTCTGGTCAATCAATTATCAATCAGATAATAACACTAGAAATAATTCGGTCATTAGTCTCAAGCAGCAACATATAGCAGTACTATAGACAGTACTGATTTGTTGTGAGTCGGCCTATTCGCTGGTTGGTTTCTGAACTGATAAGTCTGACTAGTGCTGGTTTATTACGAGAGAAAAACACTGTTAACTGACTGATAAGTCATAACTGAAACCAGCGAGCTAACAGGCGGAGTATGGATTGATCAGTAAAGCGGTTCTTCCCAGATATCCTCCAAACTCCACCAGTTATCTCCAGTTTCTCCCAATCCGAATTCCGTGTCGTCATGGTTGGCGCGAGCTAGAAGCTCCGACCAGCTCTTGTCGAACATGTCGACGCTCGTGGCGCTGGAGCATCCGTTGTTCTGGCATTGTTCGGTAGAAGTAGAGCATCCCGCCATGGTCGAACAGCTGCTCGATTGGAACTGAGACGGTGGCGACGCCTCCCGTGACGACCACGACGAACCGGTGACACTCGACGCGTCCGGGGACAGTGCGCGCGCGCAGTTGCCCATGGGTGCAGCGTTTCCGTACGCCGGTTGGGACGACAACAGCTCGTGCGACGGGCTCGCGGCCGAGTAGTAGTGAGAGACGTTATCGGCAGCGGCAGCGGCGGCGACGGCGGCGGCTGAGTCGTCGGCGTGGATCCTCTCGAGCAGGCGCGGCATCCAGAGGTTCCTCATGGCGTCGTGGAACCGGTGGCTGCCGACGTCGCATCCCAGCTGCTTGGCGTGCTTCTGCACCCGCGTCCGCCAGTAGTTCTTGACCTCGTTGTCGGTGCGGCCCGGCAGGTGCGCCGCGATCTTGGACCAGCGGTTGCCCCAGCGGGAGTGGAGGTCGAGGATGAGCAGCTGCTCCCGCGGGGTGAAGTCCCCGCGGCGCACGCCGGGGCGGAGGTAGTTGAGCCAGCGGAGGCGGCAGCTCTTGCCCGTGCGCCGGAGCCCCGCGGCGCGCGCCAGCTCGTTCCACCTGCCCTCGCCGTGCGCGGCCACGTAGCCCGCCAGGAGCGCGTCCTCGTCCACCGTCCACGGCCCCCGCCGCAGCAGCTCCGCCGCCGCCGCGTCGTCGTCGTCGCTGATGATCACCGTCGCCGCCGGCCAGTCACACGACGAACCCTGCTTCCACAGCGCGTCCATCTCGATCGGTTGACAGACGGCGAAGCGGGCTAGGCAGCTAGAGAGTGGAGTGAGCGAGCGAGCTGAGTTCGATGGGAGCTGCTGGATGCTGCGAGATGTGTGTGCGTGTGTGAACGTGCGGCGGAGGCTGTCCGGTCGATGGGGAGAGGAACAGGGTGGGCGCGGGGTTATATATTGGGGTGCTGGGTGCGCAAGGCAAGGCGCGTGGTGGGATGGTCAAAGCAAACGGGGAATGTGAATATCAGGCATGTGGCCGCAATACCGATAGTTTTTAGCGCGGGACGGGAGGGGAGGGAATCCGCGTGTCGTTGGATTTGCATTATTCCTGCGCCAGTCGCCGATGAGGCGAGTTAATTAATCGCGTTAATTAGACGCCAGCGTAGCGAGGTTTGAACGCTGACCGTTATGCGACGACCTTTCTCCAACTCGTGTCTTTGTTCTTCGCTTTTGCCAGCGCGGCTTTGTACTTATCTCTGTGGTTTGGTCGTCGGGATGCCCAGCAGGCAGCAGGCAGCAGGCAGCAGGGTCAGTCAGTTGTCAACTAGTGCCGCGGAATCGATTCTAAACTGTTATGGATCAACTCAGAAGGGCTTCCTTCTTTCCAACGTAACGTAATGTTCTCCGAGACAGAACATTTTTCGTGACACTACGAACGTTCCCGCAACAGAGCATTTTTCGTGACTCTACCAACATGCGTGTATACAATACAACTTAATATTAGACGTCTATGTATTTCAAAATTCAACTTCCATCATCTTTAGCCAACTATTAGACCCTATTTAGATCCAAGGATTCTCAAAGGAATTTCGAAGCAATAAATTCCAAAGGAAAGGAATCACGTACCAACTTCTTTATCAACACTAATTATTCCTTTTGTTGGGTGTGATAACCGGCATGGATCAAAGTGAGGCCCTGTTTAAATCCACTTTGATGATAATAATCATCTAAAACAATCTTATTGTGATCCAAAAAATGTAGATTATAAGGTAGATTATTATAATGACCACACCATTATTACAATAATCCTATAATCCACCTCGGACTTAGTTTTTTTTTGTAATTATATATTTGTCACTTAAACCAAGAATAATCCACCACAATAATTGAGGAATCTAAACACATCAATTATTAGGCCCCCATTTGGCAGGGCTTCACTTCACTAGTGAAGCTCCATTTTTTTTTACTTCAGCTCCATGAATAACTCCATCAATGGAGCTGAAGCCGTTTTGGTAAACCGTTTGGCAAAACGGTTTTCCTGTGAGCGCATATTTTTAGAGGCCTGAAGGAGAAGCCGGGAGAAGCCATTTTTTTGGCTCCATCCCATCCAAAATCATTGTGAGAGTATATTTTGAGGGCATTCACCAGTGAAGCAATTTCACTTTACCCCGCTTGGCAGAAAACGGCTCCAAACGGCTCCTGAAGCGGTGAAGAAGCCCTGTCAAAGAAGGCCTTATAGTTTATAATCTCGGTTATAATAATCTAGTCGTGATCCAAACTGGGCCTTTGAGCCCGCTTAGATGTGGCCGTGCTTCTAGCTTTATATAAGAAAACTTCATTTCGATAAGATTTTAAAGAGGACAGCGAAGCATACCTGTGTACCTTTTGTCTTTCATTAAATTCCCCAAATGAGGCCATCAAGCTTATTAATACTCAAATGGCCAATTACTTCTGGAATGATTCTGTGGAGAGTCACAAGTATCACTTAGCTAATTGGGAAATAGTTGTCATGTGTAAAGAACATGGGGGCTTAGGTATTCCAAATCTAAGAGATCTCAACATTAGCGTTTTAGCTTCTCGGTAAAAAAGATACAATTTCGATAGGAAAAAGCTCTGGAAAGAGCTCATAGATTTTAAGTATGATACTAAAAATCCAAATGTGCTCTTGTCTAATACAGTAGGTGCTTCTAGCTTTTTTAGGACCCGTTCGTTTACCGGGGAACGGAGGCCTAGAACAGTTCCGGATGGAATGGCAAGTTTATTTATAGTAGTAATGATCAGCTGGATTATTTCGGCCCTCAATTCGCACCTAACGAACGAGGCCTTAAAGGGTTCATGTGGGTAGCTCAAGCTGCCAGGATGGGTTATAGGTGGGAAGTATGAAATGGGGGAAAAGATTAGACCTTGGGAAGATAATTGGCTAGGGTCCTCTAGTTTAGCCATACAATTTTGGCCTATTTACAGTGAAAGCATCTAGGCCCCTAGTTAGGTTTCGGTGATTAATGACAATATAAGATTACTATGACTAACGTGTGTTTTGCAGAGGCAATTAAGTTAGGTCATGGTAATGGAGATCGATTGGGCAATCATAGATGTCATGCCCCTACGATAGAAATCATTTCGGTTTTCAAAGGATGGACGACAAGGTTAAGGATGACTAGTTCTAAGTGTCGATTGAAGTTGGAGAGACACTTAGAGTAGTTTAGGACTTTGTTTTTCCTTTGGCCGTACTACTAAGGGGGGTATAGACGGGTAGCTTGACCTATGTGAGTCTAGTGAGTTAGGTGTGGTGCGCACTTGCTAAGTCTAGCACTAGGTAGCTCCAACAAAGCCCTTAGATCCTATGAAGCAAACTTCATTCATATATGATCGGGAGTTGGAAGTGAATGGAGGGTCAAATACTGATCGGACGCTGGCCGCAGGGTCCGGTCAGTTCATTTGACCAAGGAGATTGCGTCTGGCGTGACCGGACGTTGAGTGGTCGAGTGACCGGACGCTGAGGACTAGCGTCCGGTCGACTCCAGTAAGGTTCCAGAGAAGGAATTCTGCGACCGGATGCGTCCGGTCAGTACTGACCGGACCCTGGGGGTTCAGCGTCCGGTCGAGTACAGTAAGGTTCCAGTGAGGGATATTTGCGACCGAACGCGTCCGGTCAGTGGTGATCGGACCCTGCCAGCGTCCGGTCAACACTTAAACACTGGTGCGCGGGTTGAACTGACCGGAGCGTCCGGTCACCCCGCAGAGGCACATAACGGTTTGTTTTCAGCCCATGTTATAAATAGAAGCTCCACTCGTGTGTGGAGTTACTTTTGCTCATTCCAACAGCTGAGAAACACGTTTGTGAGTGCCAAGAAGAGCAAGATCCTAGTGAGGTGATTGAGATTTGAGAATCCCAAAGAGAGCCCTCATTAGTGAGATCAAGAGTAGCAAAGTGTGCATCCATCTTTCACCCTAGGCTTATCGTGGTCAAGTGAGAGTTCATGCTTGTTACTCTTGGTGATCGCCATCACCTAGACAGCTTGGTGGTGATTGGAGAGCTTGGTGATTATCCGGAGAGCTTGTGGATGACCCAACTCAAGTTGTGAGCGGTTGTAGGTGATTCACCATGACGGAGTGTCGAAGAATCAACCCATAGAGAGCACTTGATCCTTGCGCGGATCAAGGGGGAGCTACACCCTTGCGCGGGTGCTCCAACGAGGACTAGTAGGGAGTGGCGACTCTCCGATACCTCGGCAAAACATCGCCGCGTTCCTCCTTCTCTATTTACTTTGAACATTTCCTTTGAGCAATTACTTTGAGTATTTACATTGAGCAATTCAATTCTTGTCTTTATAATTCATAGGATTGCCATGCTAGAGTAGGATCAGAACTGTCGGTGTTTCGGACCGGGGGGTCCTCAACCAACCAGTAAAAGTGAACTGCGTGCCCCTAATCCCGGGTGGTGATGCAAAGAGACACAAGGTTTATACTGGTTCAGGCAATTAGTTCCCTACGTCCAGTCTGAGAGATCGGTCTTGTATTCCTTACACCGAAGTGCTTGTAGTAGGGGGTTACAAGCTGGGTGAGAGAGGGAGCTAGTCCTAGGTCTCGGCGTGGGACGGTGCGAGGTGCTTGAGACGCTGCTCTCAAGCAGCTCGGGAGCGTGGGTGTTACAGGATGTGTCTAGGGCGAGTATGGGAGCGTGGTTCTATCGTATGTTCTTCTTCTCTCTCTCCCCCCGAGCTATCCCTGGCCGCTTCCTTTTATAACCGCAAGGAAGGAGCCAGGAGTACATGAGTAAGCTACACGTGGGGCCTACTGCAGTTTTGTCCTGTAGCAGCATGGCGTTGGGAATGGAGATCGGTACTTGTCTAGCGTGCCGTGCTGGTCAGGTTTGAAGTGGTTGAGGTCATGGGGGTCCTTGTCGATGTCTAGTCAGTATGACTTCCACGGCCTGAGACATGCCATGCTTTGGTGGACTCTTGACCTGGTGGAGTGCCGAGGCCTGGCAGGTCGTAGCTAACCGCGCCGAGGCCTGATTTGCCGAGGCCCTGGCGGGTATTTGTAGCTGACCGCGCCGAGGCCTGATCTGCCGAGGCCCTGGAGGGAGCAGTTGGGCCTATGCACTGATTTCAAGGCTATAGTGACCCGGTTTAGGTGGAAAAGTGTAGGGCAGGGTAACCCCTGCACCGTCAGTAGGGGATGGTAAAAAAGGAGATTTGACCACCGTCCCATCGCCCCTGGTGCTATACCCTACCAATCGTGGCTGACGTAGCGGGTGCATTCAGGCGCATTAAATGGATGGGACAGCCTACCAGGGGGGCAGTTGAGGCGGAGACGATGAGGATGCGGGACGAGCCCGGCCTCGGCCGAGGTGGAGAAGGAACAGTACGTCCGAGGCCCTGCCGGGGGGTCTCGGACGAGGTGGAGAACGAGCAGCTAGGCTCTCCTGCTGTTGCTGAGACTACAGGGACTTGGACTTGACCTTCCATGCCGCTTTGTCCTTGGCGCAGGGGTTAGGTAGCACAAGGCCGTACGGGTGTCAGTAGGGAGCACAGTGATGAGCACAGTGGCAGGTAACCCCTGCTGCGCCCAGTCCCCTGTCCCGCACTGTACCCATGTGCGGCTGATGTTTGCGGGAGTAGTTGGGCGCATTAATCCGGATGTGATGTTTTGTCAGAGGAGTTCGGTTGGGACGGAGGTAACGAGGTTGTTTTGCTGAGCCCAGCCTCGAGCGAATCAGAGAATTGGCATCCCGTCCGAGGCCTTTCAGGGCGGGGCCTCGGCGGGGCGGGGAGCTTTTG